CCAGTCCCGAGTCCAGGGGCGCGCAGTCCGGTGCCCAAGGGGCAGCAGCTCCTTCCTGCCGCCGCCGGCAGAGCTGGCAGAGGGTGCTGCGCCGCCACGCAGCAGCTTGCCCTTGCCCAGCTGAGGCCTGCCACTGCACGCGAGAGAGAGGTTTTTTTTATTTTCCCTCTCCCCCTTAAAAACTCTGCTAGTGTGAGTGATGAACGGTGCTGCTGGGGTTGTATTCCCTGGTGTGGAACAGGAAACGTGGCTAACTACGTAACTGGTCCCTAGGCTGGGGGGGATAATGCTTACCTTACAGGCAGTGGAGTTTGAGAAAGTAACATGTCAGGTAATTTTGGGGTTTTTTTTTAATCCATCCACTCTCTCGTAGCTCAGTGTGCCAGTTAACTTGTTTTCAACGCAAACAGGTTGTAATGTTTTTCACAGTGTTAACAAAAGGCTGGAGGTTTCCTGGGCCAGGACAGTTTGGAGGTTTTTTGGTTGTGTTTTTGGTGGTGCTCCTGCCGTGTGCAGCACGGTGTGGCAGTGCTGGCTGCTGTCACACCATCATGTCACACTCCACAGTGAAACAACAAGGCAGCCCTCCCTCCCCGCTGCAAAAGCAGGGTTTCCCAGCGCTACAGCCGCCTTTATGGACAGCTCTGGCCCACTTGTAGTGCTTCCATGAATTCCTTTCGGAAGTGGGGTGCGATGGTCACCACTCCCCCAGTTCCCGCCCCCCACTGCCTCACAGCTCTGGAGTCCTGTTCCGGGCCCGGGATCAGCTCTCGGGGCAGACTGAAGGGACCGGGAACATCCACAGCACTTTGAGCCCTGTGCTGGGACTTGCCCCCAGTGGGATCAACCCCTGCGCACGTGTCTGTGCCTGTGTCTGCATGTGCGTCTGTCTGCGTCTGCATGTGTCTGTCTGCATGTGTGTGTCTGCGTTTGCTTGTCTGCCTGCGTGTGTGTTTGCACGTGTGTGTGTGCATGTCTGAGTGTGTGTGGGGGGGTATCTGTGTGTTTGTGTGTCTGCCTGCGGGTCAGTCTGCGTGTGTGTGCATGTCTGCATGTGTCTGCCTGCGGGTGTGTGGGTCTGCCTGCGCGTGGGTCTGCCTGTGCACATCTGCCTGCACGTGTGCGTGTCTGCATGTGTTTGCCTGCACATGTGTGCACATGTGCATGTGTGCGTCTGCTTGCGCGTGTGTACATCTGCGTGTCTTAGTGCGCGCATGTGCTTCTTCCTGTGTCTGTGCATCTGCGTGTCTGCCTGTGTGCACGTCTGCATGTGTGCCTGCACGTGTGCGTGTCTCTGTGCATCTGCATGTGTTTGCTTCTCTGTGTGTGCACGTCTGCACCTGCATGCCTGCGTGTGTGCATCTGCGTGTCTGTGTCTGCCTGTGTGCCTGCACGTGCTCGAGTGTCTGTGTGCCTGTCTGCGTGTGGGGGTGTGTGTCTGCCTGCGTCTGCATCTGTGTGTGTTTTTTGCTGCAGCCGCACATGAAACATCGCACCTGGTGCAGCTGTTTGTTATCTCACCTTTTTTTGGTGAGATCTTTTAACATTGCTGAACTCTACTATTCTATGCGTAGAAGAAAGGAAAGCCGTAAGCTGCAACGAGGTAGTAATTTCTCTTTTTCCTCTTCCTTCCTTTTTAGGCCGAAGTGAACACATTCCCTGGGTATGAGCATAAAGATCGCATACGAGTGTCGCTGCTCAATTACAAGGATAAACTGTATAAAATTCAGTTTAACATTGTGTAAAAGCATGTAATAAATTGTGTTGACATACATGGAAAAGTTGTCTGTTGCAAAAGCAGAAGCAGCTGTAGCGGAGGAGTGGGGAGTGCTGCAGGATGGAGCAGTTTTACTCTCCCACTGCATCACGGTGGTCAAAGCATTACTAAACCCCCCATACTCGCCATTAACAGAACCAGAGCGCTTCAGCATTCTCATACCCACCTCAGCAACCGCCAATGCCTCGTCCCTCCGACCGCCCTTCTCTCAGTCTGTCATCCGGTTCTGAAATACTTCCATGCCTGTAGCCAAAGCAGTGTGGGATGGAAAGACCACTCAGGAGACGGGATACAGGTGATCAAGTTTTTATTATCATGCGGAACAAAATTAACATCAGGAAAAACCTGCCCTGCGCTCCCCCAACCCAAACGCCGGGTGCCAGCCCACACTCCAGCTTTACAGGCAGCACCCTGAGCAAACGCCCCTCGAACATTTGCAGGACCGCAAAGCGCAACATCCCGTACTTCCAGGCAGGCAGAGACACTCCCGGGAGCCTAAAACCCCCTCTGACCTTTCCCAGCAGCCGCAGAGCTGCATGCCGAAGGGTTTTCAGCTGCCTCCCTGCACGTCCGTAGAGATCTCGTGTCGCTGCAGAGGACCGGCTCAAGAGCTGTCCTGTTTTTCATGTGAACAACAGCCGCAGCCTTTACGCACAAATAAGGTCTCTTATAAGGTCTCAAATAAGGCTGCACGATGCGGGACACAGCAGCATTATTACTATTTACACTAAGTGCCCCGTTTCCAGTTTAATCCTCTAACACGGAAATGGCGTGGGTCTCACTTGCTCCTTGTGGGACGAGGCACGCTGGGTTTGGATGCAGGACTGCCCAATCTTGTAGCTGTGTACCGTTGGTACACAGAACTACGAACGCTAAATCCGCATCTCCATTCACCTCTGGTGTCTCACCCCTGCAAAGCAGTGTGCCCACACCTGAATTCGAGGCTTTTCTTATTTTAACACTGCTTACAACTACTCGTCTACTCGATGGGACAGCAAAATGGAAACGTCTCTGATAACTACCCCGAGGGGGAAAAAAAAGGAGCAGAAAATCTATTTGCAGTTGCCCCCTGTGAAGTGCTCCGGCTCTGAGGGGCACTAAGGGAGTCAGAACTTGGGTGGCTCAACACGCCGAGGCCTGGAGGGCACCAGGAGAGAGACATCCCTGGTACAAACTACCCCCAGCCACCTAAATGACCTCAGCTCTGACACGCTTTGTGAGGCGGTTGCAGGCAGTGTAATGAATAGAAAATCCCCTCCGAGCAATTAAACCACCAACCCCTAATCAAATTTGTACAAACCCAAATGCATTCGTCACATATAAATACACCAGTTTTCTATGGACTACAAAACATTCTGTGGTCTTGCAGGCTAAAGTAGGCTTCCAGTATAAACCAGACCAAACACAACAGTGAGGCGCTACGTGCTTCGTCAGGAAGCCACCACCGCTTTTTGGAGTAACACAAAATTCCTTGAGGTAACGGCAACAAAGAATGATGTAGCAAGAAGTGTGAAACCTCTTCACACCGTGTTTCAAATCAGAATTTCTAGTAGGTGAAAAGCATTCCCCTTTCATCTCACCTTCATTTTGATCCAACAACTCAAGAAGCGAAATGCCGGGTTTATTACAACCATTTTTTCATGTGCACAAGGGGGAGAGGTGGATCAAAGCAGCCCTGAACCTCCTGTGTCATGGCGAGGATTTAGTATCTAAACGCTGGGGAATCCCAACTCCTCCGGTTCCCACAGCGAGGTGGGAAGTGCAGTGCCACCATTCGCTTTGACCACCGCAGTGTGGTCACCAAGTCACAGTGAGGGTCTCCCAGAGGAAGGTCCCAGATGCCTCAAGGCCCTTCCCTCCCAGATCAGTGCAGGTCATCAGGTCTCACGTGGTGCACACCTCAGAAGCCCTACGCCCCCCACCCCCTAAAACACCCCAGGAGAACTTTCACAGCTTTGTTTGATTTTTCGATACCGATTTGCATAGCGAGCCCACGGCCAGAGGGCTGAGCCCAAGAGATGGAGCTGTGAGTGTTCATTGGCCTCTTACACCCGGCACTGATGTAGCACGGTTGATGGTCAAAGGCAACCGGGACAGGGACGTGGTATTTCCAGTGCAGCCGGACACAGGGATTCAAAACACTCCCAATTCTGCTTTCCATGCGCCTCTGCTCAGCAGCAGCACGCTTCCACCCCACGCGTTTGAGGAGGAGACCGTTCCCGACTCGCACACGCAGACACACGCGCACACGCAGCTCGTTTTGGGGCGAGGGCGCTCTGTTCTCACTGCGCCCCGCGGCTGCTTTGGGCACCCCTCGCGACAGTCGCAACGCCCTTCTCCCCAGCAGAGGCGCAGCTCCCAGCGCCTGCAGATTTCAGTACAAGGAAGGCTCAGACTGGTTTTAGTCCCAAGAGACTTTAAACACCATGAAGCTCCTTCCCCTCGGACCGCCAAAGAACACAGGCAAGTGTCTTCTCTTCACATTCCCCCCGAACAACTCTAGAAACCATCATCAGCTACAACCATTTTTTGGTCACCTCTCTCTGTGACGGCGTCCCCTACAAGGGACTGGTCGAATACTGCTGGATGAGCTGCTTGTGGCAGGGATCGCAGACGCGCTCGGGGTTAATGCTGGACGGGAGGGGCAGCTCATTCGACGAACAGGCTTCACAGAAGATGCCGCCGCAGTTCTTGCAGATGTTCTGGAATGCAGGAGGAGGACCGAAAAATTAAGGAGAGGCTCAAGATGCAAGCAACGCCAAGAAACTCAGTGTTTTCTTTCGTTGTCTTTCCCTCAACCCAAATCTTCCACTGGGCTAAAGAAAGACACTCCAAAACTCCACTCTTGTCCCCTCTGGAGACCAGAAGTTTACTCCTGTGCTGAGGACCAGTTTATAGCAAAGCTCCTTAGGGCAAATGAGAGTAGGAGAAGGCTTATAGTAAAGCCGGTACGAGTTACCAACAATGAACCATTCCAGTTCTAATTGACTCCGCCTACCACAGCATTTTGTCACAAGAGGTGAAGGTGTGTATTTTATATACACACATAAACTGTAAACACATCGGAACAACAGGCCTCGCCCACGACCAGTATTTAAATGCGCAGAGGCATTTGGAAATACATCAGGGTCGGATGTGACGCTGTGTGGCATTTGCTTTGCTTTGACCTCACGTGTTTTCTCAAACACGGGAATGGGAAAGACTGGAAAATCTACGCAGAGGTCCCGCACGTGCACAGGAGAGGTTCACGGGGTGTCTGGGGGGCAATCAGGCCACCCCTCACTGCCTCTTCTAAGCATCGTGGTCCTGCAGCGCTGGGGAGGAGAGGAACGCCGTCTTTGCGGGCGCTGCCGAGCGGGCTGGCTGGGGAACAGCTCTTGACTCTGGCAAAATCCCTAATTGCCAGCCCTGTCCCTGTGCCCGTTACCTCCTCAGGTAACCTCCCTGCGCTCCCCAATCCGCCCCCCCAAAATTTCCCAAGACCTATTAGGAACCGAGGTACCGGTTTGTCTTCACCCAGGGGCGGAGGTCAGAGCCCTGCGCGCCACGTGGAGTGGAGGTGGCACTGCTGAGAGCGCTCCTCCCTGCTCCGCAACCGCCTGTTGGTTCAGGTCTTGGCAGATCCATTGGGGGAAAGACACAACCCAACGCCGCCTTCCAGCTCCCCCCTGCAGTACTGGCAGCGGCGTGACCAGGACGCCTGCTGCACTGACAGCAGTTGTTGCAGCGCCTTGACTTGTTTCCTTGCAAACCGCGCCGGCGCCTCAGCATCAGTGAATTATTTGGGTGAAGGCAGCGCTCCCGCTGAACGCCCTTTTGGTTATCATCCCTCTAGATTCCGACTGTAAAGCAGCGAGGAAGGCAAGAGGGGCTGAGCCACGAAAAAGAATAAAAATAAGAGAGAAAGGCAAGGTGCCCTAAGTGGAGAAATGACACACAAGTGTCAACACCTCCTATTCTCACTTCTGATTGATCCCAGAAAAAAACCCCACTTAGCTAAAAAGGGAAGAAGCTGCTAAGGGAAAGGAAAACCAAATCACTGAACTGAGAGCAGAGTGAGGAACCCTCAGCCATCCACTGTTTAACAAGTTTAAGGGCAAAAGGGACTTCAGAAAAGGGTTTGTTTCTTTGTCCCAAGTCCCCAGTAGGAAATCTGTGCTGTTTGAAAATGAAAATCAGAGGAAACACATTCACCAGATGACAGAGATGACGACACGAGTCTTGAGAGTTACCTTTTTTTTGCTCCGGCTGCTTTCCTCCTGGCACAGCTGGCAGATCTCGGCATTTCCAGGTCCTGACAGCTGGTCCTAAACCCCAAGTGAAAAAGGAGACATTCTGCTTTACACAGCACCGGTATTAGAGCTCTGCAGCTGATCCTCGTCTTACAACAGGGAGGAACATTGCCCATGGTTGTGTTTTTAACCCCTCTCCGTCCACAGCACACCGTGGAGCCGCACAGGACCACTGAGCATTTGCAGGATGATCTACAGTTGCAGCGCCTACACCAACAGGGCAGAGCGGGAAGCAGAGCACGGCTGCGTGAGCCAAGGACCACACAGCTCCGCTTTCAGGCCGAGTCCACGGCTGCTGGCCCAGCAACGAGGTGGGACCTAAACAGCTTTTTCACTGTGAAAAAGAGCTGACAGATGCAGAAATTCCCCCGAGACGGGACACAATGCCAACGCTGCAGCATCCCATTGGCGGTCAGGGGTCTCCCCCTGCTTTGCCAGGCTCCCGGGGGAGAAAGAATGGATTCCCGTCTAGTTGATATACATGGGAAAACCAAAACCAAACCAACCGACCAAAACAGCCCTTCCTTCTACCCTACAGAGCAACCAGCAAAGCCCTAGCGCGGACCACCAACCTTAAACACCACCACTTTCACTAACACAACATTATATTATGCTTCCCTTGTTCTTTTTAGACCCACCAACCCAGGAAAGGAATGGGGCGAAGGAATAACTGAAG